ATTTCTTAATTTTTGTCCTCATTTCTGTTTACTTAAACCCAATTCAACAAATGTGTTCTTTCTGCTTTCCTCTGCTAACTTAAGCTTGTTCTTCCATCTCAGCTACATTTCAGCATTTTTTTTAGCCAATTTCAGCTGTTTTTCAGCAAGTTCTTCAGCAATAAGCATTCAAATTGCATTTTCGCTGGAAATGTAATTTCACTAGTTTCTTCTGATCTCTGCCTTTTCTTTTTCCTACAAAAACCAGTCTGCGGTGCTTTAATCTCCCCGTTTGATACTGGAAAGCTATCGGATCTAAACCACGATGGTAAAACTTATTTTTTACATTTTTCTCTCTGTATGACGCCCTCTCTGCAAAATGTATTTCACGTGTTTGGCAAACATTCTTGCTGTAATTTGACTGTCTTGAATTATAGAGGGGAGACACGAGCCACCCCCCGCTTGTTTGTTTGTTCAAGAATGGGAGTAAAAATGCCAAAAACTAAAAAGAATGAGGGATGAGAGAAAAGGAAAAGGACAAGTGAAATTTGACAAAAAGACAGGCTTTGAAAAAAAAATATATATATATATATCAGAAAAAATATTTTTAAAGACCTAATATACAAAAAGAACTGAATCTATGGTAGCTTGTTAGCCTTTGTTAAAATCAGGAGTTTTGAGTTCTGCAAAGGACATCAAAAAACGAGTTGTCATTTTTTGGCATGAAACATAAAATATTCATTTTTTTTAACTGATCTCCTAAAAAACAAACATTTATGTTATTTTATTGGTAAATTTTGTTTAAATTTTGAGCCTTTGCATAATCTGCAATCCTTTATGTTAATTAACTCGTAGGGTAACACCTAATTAAAGTATTAAACTCGTTTAAATTGTTCACACTGCATAATTGCTTATAAACTTTAGAGAAAGGCAGATCGAACTCGTTTTCTGACTGCAAAAATAACCTTCAAGAAGACTTCTTAATGAGACATACCTGCACAGTTATGATCATCGAAAGACAACTACTGTATCTTTTCCAATTTCTCACCAAAGAAAATCTGATTCAGAATTTTGCAAATGAACATTTTCCCAAGCCTATTGTTTTTTTTGTTTGTTAGTTTTACAAAGAATTTCAATTTAAATCATTTAATCATTTGGTCACATTTGGTAAAGAGTGCTGAATGAAATAGAAAATTCAAACAGAATTTAAAAAATGACATTAAAATGACTGAATGTGTTGACATGCTTGTGTAGCAGGGAACATGTCAAAGTTGGAGAGAAGGGGGAACAAAACACCTCAAATAATAAATAAAAGATTTTAGTAGCAGACGACAGAGAGGCATCGAATGTGAAAAAACATCAGCCAAAGACGAACAAAAATCTAGAAACTGGAATCCTTGAAGAGGAAAATATGGGCAAAAATCTTCCAAACAAAATTAAAAAACTAATAAAATAAATTCACTGGCTACAAACTTGCTAGATAAAACATTTGCTTAAGGTTATTTTCATTTAACGTTAATTTAAATTATGAAGGTAAAAAGTTACATAATTGATTTTTGAGTCTCTTTTTGAAGGTCATTCTTTACATAGTTTTTTGTAAAAGAAAAAAAAAAATCATCTAGAAGTTTTATATCCCAGAGTAAGAGTTTGTTTTCAGGGAATTACAGCTTTGCAGTGGGATTTGAAGTTGTTGGCACTGTGGTGATGTTTGTGAAAGGACTGGTACTTTATGCTGAGCTCACTGTTTAGCCAGTCAAAACAAAAAAGGACAAAGAAGCAGAAGAAATGTAAAGAGTTAAAAGGACTGATGATATGTTAAAACAAAAATAGTACAGAAAACAATGTCACGGTGGCAGAAAATGGCGTTTTAAAAGTCGACCCTCCCTGCAGCTATAATTGCTCATCACTGTGAGCCGTCTTACATCACTGACCACCCGTCCCGGCGCTTCACCTCAGCGGCGGTCCTTTTGAGTCCAATGTGGGAGGAGGGAACCCTTCTCTGCCTATCCAGATCACATTACACATGGGTCAGGTCTCTGATGTGGCTTCAGATAGAGAGCGTACAAACCCGGGCCCAAAACCACACAGACCAGATCAGTGCAGGCTCCATCCTGTGGTCTCCTCCTCACTATGAAAGATTACTTACATTCCCTAACTGTATTCCTGAACACATGCTGCTCTCATTTACAGGCCTTTCCTCCATAGATCGGAGGGGGAGAAATGATGCACGTCGGGTTTCATCGTGTTTCACTTCTTGGACGAGGATTCTGTTGAGTTCTGAAAAGAACTGAGGACAACTTATCGATATCAGATGGAAGATTTTTGGTGCAGAAGTGCAGTTTACCAATTATTTATTTTAGCAAATAACTGAAGAAAACAAATGTATAATCCACTGCCAAAAGGCCAACCATAATGTTTTTGCTTGTATCTGTGAGTAAATGTTAGTAAAATATCTCTTGAACCAAACGATGGATTTTGATGAAGCTTTCAGAAAGCAACATCTGAATGTACGAGTTGATCCATTTAAGGTGGATCCTACAGCTAGTCAACTTTAGCCAACACAAAAACAGCAAAACCTCAGTCGATTTCACAGATCTACTACAAAACAATAAATTTTATTAAATTAGTATCAACAAAGTTTACTTTTGAGCACCCCAATAAACCCAGTGAATCCTAAGTGAACCAGCTAATTCTGACTTGAAAAACTTAGCGTAAAGTAATTATATTCAGATAAATTTCTGCAGACCCACATCGCCCTGGAAACTAGGGATGATGATGTTTTTCCATGATTTTTATGCCTTTTCAAGGATCAAACAGCGAATCTGAAAGGCAGATGAACAGCCTAATGAAAGTTGAAAGAAGAAAAATCTACAAAGATACAATCATGAATGTACATTAGCAGAATGCATGTGCAAGAATGGGTGGAAAAATGTCTTAGATGGTATATGGGATGTATATATGAACAAATACAACCACTAATGGAGGAATAAAAATAAATAAAAAGTCTTCAAGAAGAACTTTGACACACACCACCAAAGTATAGCATCATCAGCTTTCACCTTTTCATCCATCGCCCCACTACACATCAATTAAATCCCTTTCCATTGGCCAGGTCTTGTAGCGTATTAGCAGCCCACCATCCCTTGCTGCCTCTAAGTGAGTTTCTCTTTAATCTTCTGGAGATGTTACCATTGATGGGCCTATTGATTTGATGTTGCCAGCAGCTTTTATCTCTAGGAACTCAAAGACGTGCTGGAGAGAAGAGATGCATTCTGCACCAGGTTCTGACTGTGCACACTGTTTTACTCTATAAGACTGACTTCACTTGGGGTAGTGTGAGCCTTCTTCCAAGATGCATCGACAGATGGTGCACAAACTTGGGAAATCTTTCTCGCGATCATCAGTTCAAACAAAATATCTGCAATTTTGTCGATGCTTGCAAACTTGCAGAAAAATAAATATCTTCCCTGTTTTTTTTCTGTGATTTGGATGTAGCAGCGTTCCACTGGAGTCATGTTGGGAGCGTGAAGCGAGGGCGCTACCATCCAGCTGACCACACATGGAGCTTTTCCAGAAGCCTGCGAGAGCCAGCGCTGGTGCATTTCACCACAGAGTTGCATGCAGAGACCCAGGAGGCCTCGCTGCGCAGCAGCATCACAGAGACCGCCTGTCGCCAATACTCATTTTTGTGTGTGTACGTGTGTGCGCGCACAATTTCTACAAATAAATATGTGTTTGCACCACATGTCCATGTTCATGTTAATCTAAGTGTATTTTTATAGAAAATTTGGTGTGTGCATTCAGCTGCGTTTCACAGAACTGCTGCCAAACTGCCCAGTTCGCTTTCAGAGTCGGAACTGATACTCTGTTATCAATCAACAGTGGGGGAAAAAAAACTGGTACGATGTGTATTTATCACCCCAAAATAAACTCTCACATTTTATTTAAGGACATTTGTGTTAAAATTAGTTTTGGTAAACCCTAAAACTACACAGCTGGAATGACAACACATGAATCAATCTGCAACAACTGAGGTCATGGAAAGTCTCTGAAGGGCTTTTAAAGTTTCTCTTTGGACTTATGCTGCTTCTTCACTCATTTAGTCCAGTTTCTGAGCATTTTTAGGTAGTTTTATTTGTTAGGTCACATTCAGTAACTCCGTCCTGTGACGCGCACATTCATGAAATGGCTCCAAAACTCAAACGGTTGAATAGTTTATTTACACATGACAGAAAACAGCAAAGAAATGTCCTGATGCATGCTCAGTAAACCAGGTAGATAAATTTAGCAGGTCTAGAAGACCTGACTCAACCTTGACTCAACCTTGACTCAACCTTGACTCAGAAGAATCCATCCAGAGAACCTGACTCAACCATAGATAAACTATTTTAAACTGGACTGATAGACACTGCTTTACATGCAATCGGTCACAAGGGCACATTTTGCTCCCTTTTCTTCAAATAATTCTATTTAAAAAATGTTAAAGACGATACAACTTGACAGGCAGGAAATGGTAAAACACCAACAAGGTGAAAGAATGACCAGCAGATCCCAAACATTTCAGCTTTTGAACCACAACAGTACATAGGGCTTGTGACCCA